AAAGTTTGTGTGTTTTTAGGAGGACATAAAGGACAGGACACCTTGGGAGGTCACACTTCAGACGTGATCCCACAACTTTTGGGCACATTCCACGGTGGGCGTATGGGGGGGGGACTGACAGCAACCCCTTATTAGTACGCGCCTCTTTCTGAGATGGTAATGAAAGGTTGTCCTCGCCCATGCTTTTGGTGCGAAATCTCGGTCTACTTTGTTTCAAACCAGTCCGAGAAGACTGAACCAGTCATTTACCTCTCCCAAACAGTTGATGAATCAATTGAACATCCAAATTCCACTCTCATTTCTTAGCATAATGGGAACATGAGCGTGCCCCTCTCAGCTGAGCAATTTATACTTTTCATGCCACGTTGCTGTTATGGAAATTCAAAAAGTCTACCTGAGCTTGTAAGCGCAAATAACGTGATAGTTATGAGTTCCCCGGGCGGTGGCACATCCAATGTGGGTGTAATTTCCGCGACTAAGCTGAAATGAACAGGTTCACCGAGCCAACAGGTACACCTGAAGTAGTTCTACCTCAATGACCGAACAACCTTACCTCAACGAACTCGGGTGCAGGATTACTGACGTTTCTGTTGCCGAATAGCGCCATCATGGCACTATTATCTATCTTTCTTCTAGAGTCCCACCATGACCTTATGGCCTGAATGGAAGCCAGATTCTGTTCTTTTCTATAAAAATCTATCTCAATATTGTAAATATTTGGAACATGGGTCTCCAGACACTATATGGTAGGCCGGACTATTTTCTTCAAATCGCGGAGCGGGTTAAGAAAACCAGGAAAAAATAGGGGATTCTTGTCATTCTCTTTGTTTGAATGTGTCGGTGTATTACTATTTTTTTCTCAAAAAGCACGCCAAGGGGGTCCATTTGGTCGCTGCAGAGAGGGGAGTCGTGAATGTTGTTAAAAATGTTTTCGGTGGTTGACTTCTGTCTTTGTTTCCTTTTTCAAGTGCGCAATACTCTCCGCTGCCTCCACCTAGTTCACCCCTGCAGTTTTCTGGGAAAGTTTAGAGTCGCTGGAAACCCCGAGAAGTGGTTGGAGTTTGGGGAGGGGGCTGCGCTATGGGCGATGGGGAAGAGTAATCAAAAATTTTCGAGGGAGTCGCATTCTTGGAAAATTGTCCCCAACGGAAGGATGTGCCCTGTTAGTAAGTACAGAGGTGGCTTGGGGAGGGGTACATTTGGGCAATAGTGCGCTAAGAGGGTGGAGGCTAATGGGAAAGTGGGGTGATGAAGGGGATATAGGAGGTTGTGCTGGAAATAGTTTCTTCTCTGCTATATGCGCCTGAATGCCACTTGGCGCTGTTCCCGAGTGGGGGGCTTACCCACGTTAGGCGACTTCCCATCGACGTGTCGACCCATCTAGGCAAGCTTTTTCTCATAGTTGACATGGTGGGTAGGTTGTACTCGATGATTGGCTTGCCAGCCTTGCTCCAGCTTCACGTAGAAAGTGTAGCAGGTTTCGGCCAGAGTGGACGCTGTAAAACCAGAACTACTCGAAGACAACGGAAGGGCAAAAATGACCCCCCCCCGTCGGCAAACTGCGCACTAGGTTGTGCGGGAAAATTTTCCTTTCTGCTATGATGCGCCTTGAATGCCATCCTTTGCCAAAGAACATCGCCCGTGGCTCCACCTAAAGCTCATTCATCGCCTTCTCTCTGGGCGTACTTTACCAAGTCACTGCGCTCGTTGTTACTTCCAACAATAAAGGTGCGCAGTTATGAGAGTGGGCCACGCCCACTAGCCCGAGAGACGCGGTTTGCGGTCAAGGGGCGTGGCTTATGAGTGGGTGTGGCGTGTTCGACCAGACGTTGGAGCTCTTTTGGTTGTGAAATTTACTCGTCCACGTTACCATATTTGCAGCACTCAGCTCATCAGCAACTGCAGCTGTGCTGGTCAAAGCTGCATTCATCCAGTTCCATTCACCAGGGCCATCGAGTGCAGGAGGAAGGGCAGATGCCGTAGCAGCCCATTTGTCCGCTTGTTCTTGTGCTACTTTCTCTAAACTCAAAAGGTATTCCTGAAACACAATGGAATAATTACATGTTCACAAATATGCCCGTGACGATAGCCTTTCTCACCAGTCTGTTCATTTGAGCCGCCCTTGGGAAAGGGAATCCATACTGATTTTCTGCTCTACCCAAAGCGACCGCAGACCTGCAACACACAGTATCTCATAGAAAAGTGTAATGCTATTTGGAACTGAGAAAACTATAATCTAAAGACCGTCATGGGAGACGAGCCGGTAGAAATCGTGCTCGAGTTCTAGACTATCGTTTATCGAGTGATTCCGCTCGTGCGCTTTGTCGCACGGTTTGACATTGCGACCAGTCGCGCTCTACCGCTGATCGTTGGATCGCTACATCGATGGAATTAGCAGTCGCTCTGGTCCAAGAGTGAGCGGTGGAGCGGGTCGGTCGCAATCGCGAGACTAAAGTCGCGAACTATGAACGCGGTCTTATGAAAGGCGAACATGTCATCGCTCATTGTGGCCGGGTCAAAGCTACGTCCCGGGTTTATTTAATAAGCAGGCGCCGTCCCGGAACATAATAGTCCGGTTGGCATTGCACATACAGTCGTGATCCCTCAGACTGGCCATCCGTAATTGCGTACTTCACTGGGACGCGACGGCGGCTGCAGTAGGAGTGGCGATCGATGCTGCATGATCAGCTGATTTCAGCGATTAATTTTTCTATTTTGCCTGTTATTCTGCCAACTAGAAGGAAAAGTGAGTTCATATTATTTACTCTAATTTAAGGTTTTATTGTATATTTTGCTTTCAGTCGCTATTTGACTGCAGTGACGGTGTTTTTACCCACTTTTTGATTTTGTTTAGGTTTTTTTTGTACTAATGAGGACACATAACGACACTGCCATGGAGAACAGTCCAACATTCAAAGCACAAACAAAAAATAAAAACAAATACAAACAGTGGTGGGTAAAACACCTTCCTGCAGTCAAATTAGCCGACTGAAAGAAAACGTACATAAAACCCTCAATTCGTAGTAAGTAATATGACTCACTTTTCCTTCTAGTTAGCAGAATAACAGGCAAAATAGAAAAATTAATCGCTGAAATCAGCTGATCATGCAGCATCGATCGCCACTCCTACTGCAGCCGCCGTCGCGTCCCAGTGAAGTACGCAATTACGGATGGCCAGTCTGAGGGATCACGACTGTACGTTGTAGATCACTTTGGCGGTTCAATACGTATTCAATAAAGAAGCACGCATTTGGCGGGAGTCAGCTTACCCGACCCACTCCCCCACAGCACACCAAGCATAGGGGACCAACGAGTAGGAACTCGTCCAAGCTCGCCTTTGCTTCGTTGGTTGTCCGTTCAAGGATCGTTCGGCAGAGGATCCTGTCCAGGCGACGCGCTGTAAGCCTTTCTCCCATTTCCTGCGGCCGGGACGGCTCGATTCCCGTCTACGGCCGCGCCCGTCTATGACATTACAGCGATTTGCAATGGTAGCGCGTCGTAGCGCGATATCGCGAATTATGAACGAGTCTCAAACGCACGCGCTCTTTCATGAGTAGCGTCCATTTACTTCACATCGTCGGGAATTCCTAGCTTTCTACGCATTTCAGCAAGAGCGATCCGATATTCACTGGCAGGAATCTCGATCTCTCTCCAATCATCTAGGCTATTTTGGTGACTTCGTGCACATATAGTGATACCTTAAGAGCTTACCTAAAAACTCACTATGTGTAAGTCGACGCGCAACTGTGCAACAGGATTCGTATAACACAGCGACCTGGCGATGCAGACTTCATGAGGTGAACCTGTGCAATCGCTGTTGATCGTACATGGTGCACCGATTTCGTAGAGCACGTCGCCATTTGTTCATGATCTAAATGGCGCTATGTTATCATTTCTCATGCTGAAAAGAGGCCTTCTCGAAAACAGGCGAGTTGTTAAATCCAATGGATACATTTTCGACGATTAATGTAGAACCCTAGCCTACGAAATAGCCCGTAGCACGAGTCAGCAAGGCTTGTGTACTAGAGAGTTTGTAACGAAGGGCCTGTAACCGATCATTGGACATGGTCGTCCCCATCCAGCGATGTGGTTCCTCCCAAGATGCGCGCTATTTCGCCATGTGCGTTCGTGTATTTCGATCCGACGTCTCGCTTAAACTTTTCTGTGCTTCACCAATCTCTCCCAGCATATCTGCATCGCATGGACCCTGTCGTCTGATTCAGATAGGTTGACTAGTCAGGGGCAACCGCAGTCGCCCGTTGTGAAAAGCAGACGGGAATTGGGGACGCAATTCTTGGATCGCTCGGAAAAGGATTGCCAATCGTTTCTCACCACAACAATGTCTTCGGTGGTTGATTTTTTTCGTTCAGCGCTCAGTTTCCCTCCACCAGTTGGTGGCGCCACAAACCTACTATGCAATAACTAAATCTTATAAAAGGGTGCAGGTGGTTCCTTGGACGCCCCTCTTGCTGCTCGACGCCCTTTTTTGCTAAAAACTCTAGAGAACTCAGAGAGGCATGTAGACGAAATTGGTTGCTTTGCTGACGCGGCGGGGGGGCGTTGAGGGTATTTTCTCAAGGTTTCTAAGGGAAGAGGTGAAGGAGGTGGGATTAGAGAAGTTATTGAGAAAAAGAAGAAAGGAGGGACAAAACAGGAAAGAGGCAAGAGAGGATTTCCCGCCCGTTGATAAGTGCCTGAGAGCACTGAAGCTCACAATGTTCACATCCGTACTTCATACCTCCACTCACCCCCTCCTTCACCTCTCTTTGGAATGTGAAAGGGTTAAAAAATACGTTGCGAAGGTGATGTACAGAAGGAGTAACTTAAGAGGGGTCGTATTTATCTGAATTTCACACGATGCGACGTGTGCCGTCGTGTTGTCCATAGCTGAGGGTCTGAGGGCATCAGGGCCGCGATAGTGTCGAGGGCCCAGGCGACCGTGAGTAAGAGACGTACGAAGTAGTGGACTTTTCATTAATTGCCTTATTGTTAGATCTAATTTATCCGTGAGAAAGTAAAGGTTATGTTCATACTGGATGAATTGCAGCCGACTATTGTGCTGTGGGTGGGAGGTGCTGTAGTAACGAAGTGGCGCGCTTACAACTCGCGCGGTGCTGGGCTCAAATCCCGGGCCGACTCTCGCCCAGGCCAAGGCCTTCTACCGCCGGGGACGGTAAACCGGTACCAGTTTTGTCTGTCTGTCTGTCGCATTCAGTAAGCCACTACGATTCTGAATGGAAGTAGAATGCGTGATCCCACAAAGGGATTGATCAACGGCGAAGACATTCTCCTTTCTCTTGTGCTGCATCAGAGTGTGTAAGAACCGTCACCACGCGACGTCGCTCACTCTGGGCAGTGCCGCGCGGCAGCAGATTCCAGTCTTTTAGAGAAGTGTGAGAAGACAGAATGGTTGTAAAAGCATGTGCTTGAATGAGAGCAAAGGAGAGAGAAAAGAGCAACGCTTGATTCACTTGATATGAACGCTTAGTGTGGAAATGGAATGGTGGAATCCACATCGGTGGGGTCGTCAGTGACTGCAGTAGGGGGAGGGTGGTACCTAGCTTCTTGAATTTTTTTTCATTTTGACTTTTTCCGTTCCAGGTGCGGCATATATCTCCTGGTCAACGGTGTACCGGTTTCTTTGTGGGGATGACATCCAGTCGTTTTGGTACAAGTAGAGAGCAGCATTGGGATGGCTGAAACGGCCAATATGGTCCTTACTCCACCCCGTTCTCGAACTTTCTGCTACAAGTCCTCTCTCACAACCAAATTTCCCCAAAACTTACCGTCAGATAGTCAGGTACACGCTGCCGAACAAAAAAAAGAGTAGATTCACCAGGCCATCATCGGAACGAAAAAGTCAACAATCGATAAAACTCCTTTAAGGTCGAACGGCCCCCAGCGACCGAATATCGCCACCCCTTCATCTTCTAAGTGCATAAACGAGGTTATTGTTGGATTTTGTTTGGGCTAATCTGAAGTAAACTCGACTGCAGTCCTTTCATCACTCGCTCTTCTCCCTGCGCTCAGCTCACTCCATACCTTCAGATGAGTGCTAGACCTGGGATCCGGGTCAAAAGATCCGAGCCAAGGAACGGTGCTACAGTGGCGACAGTGGCGTAGCAGCGGGCTTAACTGGTTCAAATAGAAAGTGCTACACAATAAAGCAAGTCAAGTAGTCAAAGGACGCAGAGTCTTTTTCTACAGGTCGCAAAAACTCAGATCTCCCCATCCGCGCCCTTATATTTTGTGTTAATCAAAATGAAGTGAAAGAGTGGATGGACTCACGGCGAGTTGAAAAAGCAGGCTGAAGTTGAGGAGTTCCTTCCGCCTACCATGCATGACGCAGTCGAACATCCGACTCTCGTCGTATTCGCTCGGATAATCTTAAACGATTGGCTTGGAGTGCATGGGGGTGTAGTAAGAGGAACCACACGACGTCGCGCACTTTGAACACGCCGCGTGCGCAGCAGTTGAGTCTCGGGACCTAGTGAATGCCCAGATTTTTGAAGACGATGATGGTGAGAGAGCTTGTGTGTAAATGACACGAGTGGTAAGAATGACGACTGGATTAACTGCCGCGCACGCCGCACGGCCACAAGCGAGCGACATCGCGAGGTGCACTTTTCTTGATATTAGGTTGATCAAAAAGTTTTGATAGGGCTTGAGATTTTTTTCTGTTTTATTTTACAACTCAGCAAACAATGCAAGCTAATCAACAATATAATAACCATCGTTAGTCATAAGATTGTCCCTCTGAGGCAGGTCAGCGATTCCCTTCTCCCAGAACTGGGGAGATTGGGAGTCAAAGAAGTCACCGACCACTTGTTCAAGGTGGTCAGTTGACGAATCGTTTTTTTTTTGCTAGAGCCTTGAGGGGCCGGAACAAGTGGTAATCTGAGGGGCAATATCAGGTGAATAGGGTGGATGTGGAACCGTGTCCCAGCCTAGCTCCTCCAATTTTGCACGGGTCTCTTTACCTACGTGAGCCCTAGAGTTGTCATGGCGGAGGTGCACAAAAGTTCGTCTAGGCCGTTTTTCTCGAATGGCTTCTGCAAGTTTCTGCAGCTGACCAGCGTAATAGAGAGCGGTGAGGGTGTGGCCTTGCTTGAGCAGTTCGTAGTAGAGCATTCCTTTTGAATCCCAGAAGCAGCAAAGGAGAAACTTCTTGGGAGGGTGTTTCGAACTTGGCTTGCGTCGCGCGGCTGTTCTCCTCGCGGGAACCAGAACGGTTGGTGCTTCTTAAGCTTCGTCAGAGGAACAGCTTTCAATGCCAGATAGTCCAGCTATCAGAAACCCTGGGCGGAGAAGGAGAGGCTGACAAATGGATAGCTGGATGTACCGCATGCTATCGGTCGAGACATGAGGTATCCATCAAGTCAGCACTTTTCTGTAACCGAAGGCCTGAAGGCGACCGACGACTGTTGATTGGGCACACCCAAAGTCTCAGTCCAAGCCTGGGCGGTTGGTTGGGAATCCCGGACTCTCTTTACGGCGTCTGCAGAATGGCGGAGTCGTCCACAGGCAAGGAGGCCATCCTTGACGAGGCTTGTTGCTCGAAAGTCCGTCGTCTCGTTCGATGGACCGTAGCGATGGAAGTGGTGTCCTCCCCATACGCTGTTGATGTTGCGAACGGTTGCCGTCGCTCCGGTGCCGCGGCGCCACTCGTAGAAGATGATGTATCGAACATGGTCTCGTGGAATTGACATCGTGATTTAAGCTAAAGGAGGAAGCGCGCCTATATATACCCATTACGGAGAAGGTTCTAGAATGTTCTACCACTACCACATGGTAGATCATTGGTATCGATCAAGAATCGAAAGTTCTGGAACTTTCAAAAAACCCTATCAAACTTTTTTGATCAACCTAATAGAATCACCATGAAACGCTTACATTTGAAAAGCCTCGAAGATTGTAGTTGCCATTGAATCGAAGTGTTGAATCGACCCGAAGGAAGCCGTACTGTGAAACTTGACTCAAGGCGTTTCGTGGGTTCAAGACGTCAGTGACCGCTTTATGGGTTGCATCGAATGTGCTGAACCTTAGGGGCTCATGAGTAATCTCAGTCCAAAAATAATAATAGAGAAATTACTCCAAACAGGTGAAACTCACTATGTGAACGCCTGGCCAAACGAAGGGTTCAGCGTCGCAGTAGATGGACAATTATAGACCGCCACACTCGCGAGGTTCTCCAGGCCGCAATCCCACGTCTGGAAATGTTCGTAGGTCTCTCCGAACTGTAGCATACCTGTAGAATGGCGCTCAATCTCAAATTTACCCGTCCTTTTGACACTCGTTTTCAACCGACAAGGCAAGACAATTCGTCCGCAGGGCGCGACGTCGCTCGCCACGCCCACCAGCGCCTCATATTACCATTATCTTGTCACACACACTTCTATACGGAGTCAACTCTCTGTTCTGCTCTTGCTCTTTGGCGCTGTCATTATCTATACACTCGCTTTGTCTGTTAGTTTGCTTTGGGAGACGGACTAAACAATCGTAATTTGTCGCGTCGTCGCACGCAGCCCATGGTGCGGCAGTGCGCAGTGAATTCTATCTAAGCCTCGTTCACCGATTGGAGCAGCAAAACTCGTGTAAATTCA